AGGAAATGGAGTCTCTAACCTCCTTCATGCAGGATTTTCATTTTGCCAGGAGTATTAATTCTGCTTTGGAAACTGATGGTCCAATATTAGAGCAACTTGCGTCAGTGGAGACTCAGATACAAGCCGATCACGACTTGGCTAGAAGACTGCAGACTGGAAGGACGATTCAGGCCACCGCTACCACTGCACAGGGAAGTGCTATTAATACATCTCATCTTCGAGATAATGTTCCGTCCTCGAGCTCCCATGCAACGTTAGCTGTTTGTTTTCCTTCATTTTATTCCTTTAATGACTCCTCTTAGTGCCGTGATCACCGGAGGCACAACCTACCAATCGCACCCTCCTGCGTAAGTTGTCAAACCTGATAATGAGAACCAAGATTAACGTGAAACAGCCGTTCTCGCTGTGTTGTCTGTGATGACGATGCGGCAGGCGCAAAAGGGTTACTCTTTCCTTGCAAAGACGCGTACGATATCAAATGTGCTATTGAGCTTTTCCAGCATGCTATGCGGGACGAAAGCTTAATGCCACCTCGTTGTTGTCGCATGGAAATCCCGGCAGGTCAAGTACTGCCTTATTTAAGGCAACAGGAACGGGAAATTTTTATGGAGAAACGACAGGAGTATTCTACCCTGAATCGCCTTTATTGTCCCCGCGCAACATGTTCCAAGTTCATGGGATCTTGTGAGGGCGAAGTTAGGAATGTTACCTGCCCCGCTTGCAGGCTTCTCGTCTGCACAGGCTGCAAGAAGAATGGTCATGCATCCCACATCCCATGCGATAATGACAATGAAGCCCAACAACTGCTCGAATTGGGAGAAAGGAATGGCTGGCAGCGATGCCCTGGCTGCCATCGGATGGTTGAATTGGCATTAGGATGTTATCACATGACATGCTTGTGTCGTACCGAGTTCTGTTATCTCTGCAGAGCACGGTGGAAGAACTGTGGATGTGCACAGTGGGACGAACACAGGCTTTTAGTGGCTGCGCGGCAAAGAGTCGCAAACGAGAATGCAGATCGACCGGCAATGCCGGCTGCTGAACGAGCAAGGCAAGTTAGGGTCGCTGCAGACCATCTACGAACGAACCATGAATGCAATCATCCGAGCTGGTATCTTCGCCACGGAAGGGATCAGTGCGAAAATTGCTATAAGTGGTTGGACCGATACCTATTGGTATGTTTTATATTGGGGCTAATAAACAACAATACTAATGATTTAAACGATTACAGTGTTGTCGTGGATGTCAAATGAGAGCTTGCGTTAGATGTCAAAGAAACAGACTGTAATTAACTGGCTGCATTTAAGTGAAAAATATATCCGTCAATAAGTTCAAATCGAAGCATTGAGCGTTAAGATCTCAGCAACCGTCAACCAATCAAATGTAATAATGTATTCAAAAACAGCCTTAACCATGCGTTGCTATTTGAGCAGAACCTATGAAATTTCGTTGACCTCGACTCCGGACTTCGAGCCTTCCCAGACCAAAACTTCTTGTCGAACATACAGAATCCCGCAGTCATTCAAGAGACGTCTTACAAATGAAATTTACCTAAGCCAAAAAAACTATCTCAAACACCTGATAATTCAATGTTCAACCACAGCATAAATAAAACAGTTTAAGATAAAATACTTTTATTGCACTACATATACATTATTACATACTAGCTAACGTAGACAGAAAAAGTCCTTCAAATTCATTTGCACAACTGTAACTGCCTTTCTATAAAGACTGAGCGTAAGATTGAGCGAAAGAAGAAAAAAAATCCATCAGACTAGCACTGCACCCGTTGGCTAACCCATCTTGCCTCCCGAAGGAAAGCCGTAAAGGAAGCCCACGTCCTCGAGCATTCCAAAGAATGCATGTTCTCAGTAAGACGGGGCAGTGCGATTTGTCATCGAATGGATTTGAAGAATGTGGCATGAATAAACATGCGAGACTCGAGTTAGTACCTATAGAATAGATCCTAGCTGAGTATGTTCTGAGGAAACAGGAGTGTGGGACATCAACCTTATAAAGGGTCAGTAGACGCCAGCCGGTGCGCACGGGCGCGTGGCTGTGTTCTAATGCGCGGCTAATACACCCGCACCACCACCCCGTCGAGTGTGAATCTCTGCCATGTTGCACCACTTACCAATCGAAGTCCTCGAATTCATACTGAACTGCATCGAGGCTCCTCCAAATATGCTTTCCCTGGCATTGGCAAGCAGGCATCTTAGCAGGCTCATTATTCCGTTTCATCTCGAATCGAGATTCATCCGGTGTAGAATCTCGCGCGAAGACGTATGGGAAACAATTCTAAAGACTCCCCGAATACTCGATGTATTATGGGGAATTGAATTAAAGCTACTTTTTACGAGGATATCCTGCCACGATGTGAACATGGTCCTCCGGGAGACTCATAGGAGGATGCCAATCTAAGCTGGTCGTGGCGTAATATGACTGTGTCCGAAGTTAAACTTTGGTCCACAGTAGCCGCGCTGGATCTCTTAATCACGCGGTCAGCACGCCTTAGACGATTTATCTGTGACATAATGGATCCGCCCATGACTGGATTTACATCAGTACTTAACTCTCTCATTTCTCATGGGACCGTCCAAGAGATCGAGCTTAAAATTCATCGTCTTTCAATCGGTGATTTTCATACCGTTGCGCCCATCTCAAAATAAGTTGAAGCGGTTCGTATCCTAATCATTTGATCGGTCGTCTGACAATTAACCCATTTATAATGTAGCCATACAGCCTGCCCGCAACCCTTTGTGTCTCATTTACATGCATGTGGGAATGCATTAATGAGCAGGCTGTGTTTTCGAATTTTGTAGACATGCTGATTCAGCGTTGCCCTTATTTAACATCCCTCAAACTTTCTACTAGATCTACACCACCTTTTCATCTTTGGGCAATAAACCTACCTAACTTGTTGACAACAGCACATTGGCCCAGTCTCACCGATCTTACGCTCATTGGATCTTTCTCACTCTACCCCAATAATTTTCCTGTTCAGGCTGCCCATAGCAGTGATCTTATGGCACAGCTCCTCTTAAAGCATCCCAGGCTTCGTACACTGAAATTGGATGGGGGACAACTAATTCACCGTGGAAATATTCGAATGGACGTTGCCCCTGCTCTAAAGGCTGTGAGCATACTGAGGCATGATCGAAGCTCGTTCTTCGATTTAGTACCACCGGATTTTTTGCCCCAATTGGAATATTTCGAAGGAACTGTTGAAAGCCGAGATATTCGATCATTATTCTCCATGTCTAATCTCAAGGCTTTTTGGCCTATCTTGAACAAGGAGATTCGCTATGAAGAATTCACCCGGGCCATTCCTCGTATCATCAAACTCAATATTGAACTTGGTGATGAAAGATTGGTAAGTATCAATTTTGATCCTTTATCATATAACAGCCTCGCTCATGCGTACTTCATAGGAAATCATAACCGGTTCACTTGAGGTTGCGAAACACGTTTCCTTCCTCCAATCTCTTCGGTTTCTTACCCACTTGGCGGGTTTCATGCGCATCTTTAATCCGGCATCTGTACGAGGACAAGCCGTTCTCGTCGAGTCAGTTAAGCTTCCCAGGCTAGAATTTATTGAAGTCGCATCAAGGGAAACCCTTCCAGCAAATGGGATAGTGAAAGAACGATGGATAAAGCTGGATAGAAACTGGATGGGCACAGCTGTTGGATACAGCGAGGCAGGGGATGTCATTGATTCAAAATCATGGGGTCGTTTCTTCCTCGGGTTTACTTCATAATATCAAATCAAAGCTAATAATTAAGTCCTCTTAACTGTAATACTGGATTCGACTTTTCAATTGAATCGAATACATGTGACCGAGGCCTTCGTCGCGAAAGTAAACATCTTGCATATGTTTCGCAACTGATAGTTGAACGTCCACAGCACATCTGATCCTTCAAAAAATTCATGAAGATAATGACAACTCCATCAGCCCATTTAATTAAGATCCTTCCAAATAAATGGTTAACAAACCCATCGCAATAATTTAACCTGCTTACGGGAACAACACATGCAGTCACCGTCACCCGTCGGTCCAGCGCAAGGGTCAGCTCCAATAGGACAAGACACTGCCGCACAGTTAATGGGTGCGTCTATAGAAATATTGTTATTAAAAAGTCAACTGATTTAGTTGAAGATTTAGAGTACCTCTACAGCATGAACATTTTGTCTGAGCCGCCGAATTGACAATGAAAGGTGTTGGTGTGGCAATGAATGTTGGAATTCGCACAAAATTCGCACAAGGATTTGGATCAACTTCGAATGGTATTTAGCTTCCCCAGACATTAATTAAGCGATGAGGATATCTTACTACAGCATCCGCAGGTTCTATCCGACCTTTCGCAGGGGAAGAAGCCGCTACGACACCGGATAGTGTCCAGACAACTTGAATCGACTTGAGCTACCACACAGGTCGCGAACTTGGAAAGGAGGTAAAATCCAGTGATAGTAAGGATAGCTAGGACTTTCATGGTAGATGATAATACGTCACAATAAAAGCGGAGAGAATTTATAGCATTGAAGTGAACCGGCAGAGCAGGGGAAGTTAACTATGAGCTCTAATTTGCTCCGGATACTCATCGACATCAGTCAATTTTCAATCATTGTATATCAGCTACAATATCCTTTGAAGTCTACAATACTACCATTAGAAGACAGGTAAGACTGGTGTATACTTAAACGCATATAGTAGTATCACTATTCGTCGGGATGTCCGACGCCCAACCATCATCTGGGTCAAAATTTAATCATAACTGAGCCTTGGTACCTTCCAAGACTCTTAGGATCCCAAAGAAAGGAGTTGTAAATTCCCAACGGAGCTCCGGCGGAAAGTCTTTTGGAATTATAAATAAAGTTCGATATGGAAGTATGTACTAGAGACTTGTCACTGACCTAAAAGAGGGCTAAAAGTAAGTGAAAATTTTCAAATATATCACACGAGTGCAAGTAGGCGAAAGCAGTACAAGAAAACAAAAAGAAGGGGTCTGGCCGGGAATTGAACCCGGGACCTCCTCCAAACGACAAACGCCCTAAGAAGGAATCATACCTCTAGACCACCAGACCCTTGATAATCTATGTAATCCAAGCCTGTATTGTCCAGAAGCGAACAATCTATAGACATAGTTCCGTATAAGATACTGAACTAGCAGCATCGACACTCGAAGAATTTGATGTGTCTAGCAAGTACAGGAAATCTTGAGAGATGAGGGCACCGATCTTAGTGAGTAGTGAGCAATGATTCGACCAATAGACCTTGGTTCATCGGTCGACGTCTGTTAGTTACTCATACTGTACTATCATATATTTACGGAGAGTATCCGCTAAGGTGCATGTAAGTTCCGCTTATGGGATGTATATACAAGGAATTCACTTACAGAAGGTTGAGGACTTCCTGAGGCCATCTGCTGGTTCTGCAACGCGTTCTATCCAGACTCGAGCCCATGTCTAGCCATAGGAACGTTCCCAAATACCTATAAAAGAAAATAGGGACATAAAGTAGAGTTTTGTTTGCAGAAATCCCAGGAGTTTCAAGCGATAGCACTTCCAAAGGGGAGGATAAGGCTGCTGACATAAGCAAGCAGTGCACAACGTAGGACCGCCATCCGTCGTCGTCCAGCACGATGCAGACGAAGACTGTCAACACACCATACCCTCTTATTGACTCGGATCCGCACTTCTCGCGGGTAGTCCGCTACTTCCGTGGCTCTGACTATGCCGTGCTGGCTGGTGCGACCGCGGCATTCCCGGGTGGTCTTTATTTAATGGGTGCGCAACTCGCAGGTTCTTGCGGCAAATCGAGCTGACTTGAGATACAGAATACGTCGATCCAACGAACCTTAGAAAAACTAGTCGGATAGGACGCGGTCCTATGATATATGGAACTGTCCTGGGCTTTGTTGGCGGCTTCCTGCTGGCGTACCAACGATCTTCGTGTATGTCTCTCAAATCTAACCAGGTTATGTTGTCTGACAACATCTTCTGCCTCGGTATTTAGTCAGATTCTGGGGATGGACGGAAAACGAGCGTGAACAAGCGAGGGACTTGGCTGAGCTGTCAGAACTCGCCCGTCAAAGCAAGCCTCTCTATGGAGAGTCACCTCAACCAGAATGGGTTCAAAAAGCTGCTGCTGGTAACTCCACATTCTCTGCTCTTAAATTTGGTAAGTTATAATGTCCTCGTGGTGATGCATGTGCTTATAATGACCTTCTCAGCTGCATTCCCAATGTGAGTTTATTTTGCCCTTTCTTTGATTCATGTTCTGATCTTTGATTCTAGGTTTAACTTTGTTCATCACAAGTACCATGGAACGGATCCTGCTAAATATGGAGTGAAGACGGAGGAGAGCTCGTCACAAGAGTAATTGAACTGAATCACTACAGATATAACATTTGTAAGGACACGCTGCTGTTTCTTTTGCGATAAATTAGTTTTTGGTGCGATAGAAGGCACCTGTACCATATTCTGATAATGGATTGATTCTCCATTTGACTCGAATTGTCCGACCATGCACGAACAATCATTTTTTTGAATAATCTTTTCACCGTACTATTTGTTCTGGAAAGAAATATAAATCTGGATCATAAAGCCTAACGAGATTATGCTATCAAAGTTCAATGGAGTGAGTTTTCTAGTTGGGTGTCCTCAGGCATCATTCATTCGGCCAACACTCGGTTGCACAGTGCATCGTCCTGAGGACACCCAACTAGAAAACTCACTCCATAACGCATGTGACTTCGCGTGACGTGACGCACTGGCACGCCCAACGCAAAAGTCTCCCTCAGTTCACCTTTAGCTTACCCACTATTATGTGGTATAAGATACCTTACGAACTTCGCGTTTTGACTATAGAATATTCTTTTCTCCTAGTTAAGGCAGCAACTAGAGGAGGAATGGGAGAGCAACAAGCTCAGCAAAAAGGGTCGCTGGAAGCTTCACGATTATCCTTGATATTAATGGAATGGGCGACGATCATAAGCAAAATTCGGTTCGAACACATCCTCACGAGAAATATGAAGTATACACAGGGCTTTCGGAGATGGGTGTCGAAGAACAGAGTGGAAAGGCTGGAGTGCCGTCTCCTCATCAAAAGGTTGACTCTCAATTTAGAGCCTCCTCGGAGCCTCCCTGGAAGACTAGTACCAGATTTGGATGTTCCTTCTGATGAATCAGATCCTGAAGACCCCCCTGGTATGGTATTCCTAGATGATCTTTTCGATGTGTGGGAAATGGAATATGCAAAGGCTCACAAAATTGCTCCAAAGAAAGTAAGTCAATAAACATTGTATTCTATTATATGATCATTCGTTTTTTTATAGCTGCCTCGTATACTTCAAAATTTCGCCATCTAACTGCCCTATGAATTTGCAGGGAAACCGGTTCATGTTGTTTATATCCTGCAACACCTCGAATATGCTAACGAGTTGAAAACATTGCACATCGATATAACCGACATTCATGACACTAAGATAAGCTTACTGTAGCTATCGAGCTTACAATGCCTTTCTATTTTATCGCAAAGGCTCCGAAACTGCGTAATTTGGTGCTTATCTCCGACATCTGGTATTTTGGCCGCCATGCTCTCAATCTTATAAAGACTTTACCCGACGCTCTTCCCAAGTTCATCAAAGCATTTACCAACCTTGAGGAGTTTACTTTGAAAGATAACACTTGCTCTGAGCGCAATTTCGATGTTATCATGCCCTCTAATCCCCTCTCGCAATTGTCTCACACCTTGAGATCTTTAAATCTATCCAATCTCACAGTTGTCACTTGGAACACCGCAGATATCATAGCCGGTTTGCGGACTCCGATGCCATTGCTCGAGAATCTTTACTTAGGGAATATCCCATTGCGACTGGAATTATGGTTGAATACCTAGCCAGATGCCGAAACTTCGAATCCTGCACCTTAAATCTTCCACACACTTCCCCCTTCCGAAGATTCTAGATTTGGTAATCTTGAGGACATTCCTCACTCTCGAGGCATTTTAAATAGCAGCGCACTTCATAGGAGCCGACGGAGATAACGAGCTGGACCATGATAACGAGTTGGACCATGATAACGAGGTGGACCATGAATTTGAAGAAAGAATTCTCGGTTTACAAAGGACGATTGAAGAATTAACCAAACTCGAATCTGCCTATAGTATTCATTGTAAAGAAACGTGGTCCCATTGCCAGTCGGAGGCCTTTGTGTAAGAAATAGGTACGTACCATAATTCTTTTCAAGGGGTTTGAGCTCATGTTGAACCTAGCTTATACTCTTTATATCAGTCTTATCTTGCCTTCTAATTTTTCCAGTTGCATCTTGTCCACATTTTTGACTCTTATTCTCTGCCAAGAATCTACGTAGTGAACAGTTGTCTCCTGCACTCGCAAGTTATTTTAATCCCAAGATTCTTGAGATATTTTGTTCGCTATACGTATGTCACCCAGGAATCCTTTATGAAAACCCAGCATTCAACATCCAAATATACTTTTGAAACATATCCTATCGCTGGCCGCTATCAAAACGTCCATCAAAAGTTATCTTTTGAACTTTTTTTACAGGGACCCCAGAATGCAGTCACGAGAGCTCGTCGCAAGGGTGATTGGGTTGAATCACTATAGATATAACATTTCAAGTATATTTTTCTGTCTCGTTAGAGATAAATTTGCTTTTGGTGCGATAGAAGGCCACTTCTAAATATATATTTTGGTCGGACAACTTGAGTCTTGAAGCGAGTCGAGTATAATGGATGCGGAAATAATGTACTTTATCGATCTTTCACCGGACTATTTTTTCTTAAAAATAATATAAACCGGAGTAATCTTCAATGCTGAAAATTCCAACAAAAGCTATTTCTTGAATGTAAAATGCTACTAGCATGTGTGACATCGCGTGACGTGACACATGCTCCGCGAAAAAGTCTCTCTCAACCCACCTTCTACTTGTCCACTACCATGTGGTATAAACTACTTTTCGAACTTCACGCGTTGACTATGGATTTTGTGTATTTCAAATTCAGATAGCACTAAAAGAGGAATGGGAAAGCAACGAGCTGACGGAAGAGGGTCGCTCAATGTCGCAGGAAGTCTCGCAATTAACCTTGATATCTCTGGAATGGGCGATGATGATACGCAAAATTCGGTTTGAAGATATTGTCACGAGGAACATGAAGCACACTTAGGAATTTTGGAGATGGGTATTGAAAGGGAGAGTGGGAAGGCTGGAGTGCAGTCTCCTCATCAAAAGGTTGACTCTCAATTTAGAGCCTCCAATGCACGCCTGGTCAACAGATGCGATACTTGACATTCCTTCTGATGATGAAGACGATGAAGATCTGCCTAGTATGGTGTCTGTGGAGGATGTGATGGATTATATATCGAAGGACCCAGGTTATGGTGATTGGCAAAGGGAATGTATAAAGACTCGTAAAATCACACCAAAAAAAAGTAGGCCAACGAATATCACTGTATTCGTTCTCGATTGTTCATTTCTCTACAGCTATCTCATATGATTCAAAAATTTCGCTGTCTCGCTGCCCTCCGGATTTGCATAGGAAACCGCTTCATCTTGTCGCCTTGTGTCCTGGAACAGCTTGAATTTGCCAACGATATGGGAACATTGCAAATTGATGTATCCGACTTCTTTCCCTTCAATGACTTTACTGAAGATATTGATCTTACAATGTCATTCTATTACATTGCAAAGGCTCCGAAGCTACGTAATTTGGAACTTATCTCGCTTATCTGGCGTTTTGGTGAACATGCTTTTATGGATAGTTCACCCGGTGTACGGACATTAACGTTGGATGGAACTTGGGGCTCCCAGAATCTCCCGACTTCATCCAAGGATTCCCCAACCTTGTGGAATTTACCCTGATAGATAATGAATTATCTCATCGGAATTATGACGCGGTTACGCCATCTTATCTTCTTTCATATATATCTCATACATTGACATCTTTAAATCTATACATTATAACGGAGATGGCCTGGGACCCTCGGGACATAATAGCCCTGTTGAAGACCCCGATGCCGCTGCTGAAGGCTCTTTGCCTCGAGGACATCCTGTTACGTCTG